ACGCTTGCCATCTTTCTCGGCTGTTCTATGGACCTTCCACCAAAATTGGGGCATGGAGTAGGGCACGCTCCTTTCCGAAGACATTTTCAGAAAGTTACAGTAATTGACTGTACACTTTCCCAGTCCTGACATGTCCTGACCATTTTCTCAAAGCCCAGGCTCATTCCCATCCCATTCCTCGCGTCCACCCATCGCCCATCCCCAGCCCGAGAAAAGCCCCCGATCTGCAGAAAGTGCACGCCCAAAACGGCACCTCTGGGTAGATCTTGTTGCCTCCTGCATAGTAGGAGATGGCTCCTGCCTCAGGAACTCATTCTGAAACGGGAAGTCTAGTCTGGGCTCCAATTCTGGACTGTTTGGAACCAGCAACAAGGCATGGATACACTTGTGAACTTATGGACAGTCGTTTCAGCAAAAAATAAATGTGTATTTTCTATATTTGTATGCTTTCTTAGGGTTGTCCAACATCACTTAAGTTGAAGAAGTTTTGAGGTTGAAACAGCACAAGTATCACAAAGGATCAAGAACACCAAAGGTGTGTGATTTTCGTATTCTGGCAGGCGGTTTTCGGATCTCTTTCACAACGGTCGGACCGGCACCGGCGTGGGACTCTTGAGGCTGAGGACCCCTGCGCGGGTCGTCCTGAAAGGGATCAGGCGCGCCTGAGGGCGAGCGTCCGAATGAGGGCCCCAGCGTCTTCTCTCGGTGCCAGCGAAGGAAGGAGGAACAGATTCTGGGAGAAGGATATTGATGATCAACAACATTCAACAACCCTAGCTCAAGCTCCATAAACATATTCATTGGAATTCCAAAGTATACATTCTCCAGAATGCCATAAACTCTTCCGTGAGTGCATTCTGATTGCAAACAACAAAGAACTCCAACAAGGATCACGAACATAGACATATTTTTATCTAATTTCGTAACACCTTTTAAGGACACCTCGATCCAGCAAAAATGCATTCAAGTCCACCCGCTCCTGCCCCTTCTCTCTGCTCTTTCCCAAACAGCGCCTCTGCTGGCTTGAAAAGCACAGGCCGAACGCTGTAAGCCTCGGCAGCTTATAGGGAGCTGACATGCTTTCCATCTTGGGTTATGGGCTAGGATGGGCTAGGATGGGCAAAGTTTCAAGACACTCGCGGCTCAATCAGGACATCCATAGATTCTGGCCACTTGGTCCCATTCCAGCCGCAGCCGCTGCAAATGCTACTGCGATCCTCTACTCAGCCACTGTGGCTCTAAGAAGTGCCGTCCCCACACAGATGTGTCACGCGTTCCATCGCGGGGCGCGGACGTAGCAGTCGTCCACCAGCCTCGAGAATTCGAGAGCGTCGAAACCCAACGGCGACCTTCTGAGGTGTAACGTTTCCCTTTCCTACGTTCGTGGCCTCTTGTTACTAGTAGCTTCTTGTTCCTAGTGGTGATGCCAGGAGCCCCTAGTAGTGTCCTTGCTCCTAGTAGCGATGCCCTTTGTTCCTAGTAGCCTCTTGTTACTAGTAAGGCCAGGAGCCCCGTTAGTGGCGTTCTTGCTCCGGCGGGTTCACTTTTTCACCCCCAACGAGCACTGACGATGAACAGTTTTTCTTCGAAAACATCTGGGACGGGACTCTTGTGGATTTTTGTTGGACTGGGAGGAGAAGGGCAAAACGAAAGGACTGTCCAAAGGCTCCTTGAAGGGAGGGACATCATTCTGAGCAAAAGGAGGGTCAGAGTGGTGGAGCTGCTTGTAATCTTTTCCACATGGATGAACATCCAACATCATCCAACGGCATTGCATACATGTGTTGAATTTTCTTCACCCGGAAACTTCCTCCGACACTTGGGATCCCTCTGAGTGAATGCGGGGGCCTGAAGGGAGATGTTCACCACTGGGTCCACGGGTGTTACAAAGACAGCGTCACAGCGTCCACTGGGTATCTCGGACTCTTCAGCAATCTCGTGGTAGTCGCCCTTCATGACCTGAGGATTTCCAGGATGGGTAAACCAAAGACCAGGATAGATGTTCCTAGTCTAGATGCCTAGAGATGCCGGATCAGCAGAGATCTGCAAAGTCATTTTTACTATCGTATTTATTTATATATTCTATGGGATGCACACACCTTTAGACTCCTTTAGGTGCTTTCCTTCGGCACGACCTGCCGGTCGTTCAATAACGCATCCGAGCGATGCGACGTCGCGACGCGCCGATGGAGACTCCGCCGCCGTGGCTTGTTCACGCTTTGTTTGCAAAATGTTTTTGCCATGGATTGCTCGGGGCGAGGAGATGCCCAGGTCATATCGCATGGCTTTGAACAAGTGTGCTTGGGCAATGTCCAGTTTGGAGCGGCAACTTTTGGCAGCTGAGCACTGGACATACACGTTGCCGACCTGACAATGCTGATGACACGCATGGAGCTTCAGAGTAGAACGTGGATCAGCCAGATTCATTTCAGGCACTCGTAGACCGAGTGGCTTATCCAATGTCTTTTGGCGCTTTCAACCATGTAACTCTTAACTACTTCTTTTGCACCAATCCCATTGTTCTCTTCATCTTTATCTTTCTTTAATTTCTCCATTCGAAGCACATTCCGATCTTTCTCTCTTTCTCACCTCCACCAACTTCTTGCCCCACGCCAGCTGCGCAGCCTCGGTGCACGCGTATGCAAGTTGCGTACGCAACGCGTAGCGCTAGTTACGATGTTTTCAGGTGTTCAGTCTGAAACGAATGAGTTCGTGTCAGGATTGGCAAACCAGGCAAATGTTCTGATTGATCAACGAGCGTGCCAGGGAATTGATTCTGGTGAAGCAAGTCTTTCTTTTTTTCAGTCCTTTGCTAAGTCCGATGGGCACATACGGCTCCAGGGATAGCTTTTGAGCGCCCAAGAAGGCTCCAGCTGCGGAGCTTGGAGATCTGTCACCAATAGCAAGACATCAGGGGAACACTCTAACAAATCTCTGGCCTCATCTTCATCTCCCTCCTTGCTTTGCTTGAAGGGTGTCCACAATGCCTCTTCCCACATACTTTGCCTATAAGTCTAAGTCACCATAGGAACTAAGAAACCCTGTGGCTTTCTCAACGAAAGAGCTGAACAAAAACATCCCTTATTGGTAATACTTTTTGGGGAGAAACTTGGAGGGAGCTGCCACTAACGACACTTTCGAACGATGCAACATGGTGAGACTGTGATGAGAGGGCACCCCTCACGGTGACAGAAAATCGAAACCCTGGTCACACTGCTACTAATCTGCAGAACACCCACAACCTGAACCACTGAGAATACAACTTGGCCAACAAAGAAGTTAATTTTTAAAGAGAAATCAACTGAGCTTCGTTGCATCGTTCTCCCTGTGACACCTGTCATACGTCACGTCTCTCCATCGGATGACTTCCTCCCACCTCCATGGCCTGCTCGGTGAGATTGGCTTCTTTGGGTTCCTGGCGCCCGAGCCCGGCGCCCGAGCCCCACCAACCCACCCACCCACCCACCCACCCACTCACCCACCCAATAGCACATTGCAATCTGGAGGTGTTTGTGCTTCCTTTGTGTTTCTTTTGGGCTCCTACCGAAACTCGACATTTAACAACCTACCGTAACCGACCCCTCAGTCAACAAAGATCACTGAACTTGCCCCGTGGTCGGCCAAGGCTCTCCTGGCGGAACTCCTGGTCTTCCCCATCCGACGGTGTAGAGGCCATAAAGACGTGAATTCTGAGGGCGCCTTCCTCGTCCTTCACGTAGCCTAAGGGCATGGCACCCCACTGCCCCGGTCTGTGTTTTCCGAAAAGAACAACTGGAATCCAGGATGTACATAATGGGAATAGCTTGGATCAAACCAAGATCCAAACACTGTATGCGACTCTTGACCACTGATATGGCTCAAGGAAAGTCCAGAGACTGCATAGAAATGCTGAAGGGAGTGCAAAGAAGGCTGTCTTGGGGTCAGATCAAGTTCTGACCCACCATGCAGATGGGTATCAAATCAAGTGCTGACCACATACGGTTTTCACTCCCCCTTTGACTTCGCTTCAAGAAATCATTTGACAGTCGTTGGAGCATTGAAGACCCAATTGTTCGACTTGGCCGAGATCCCTCCTGGCAACCAGACAGGGCCCTGTCAAGACCCGAAAAAAGGTGCGTCTCGACAGTGAAGAAGAACTGCAACAGGGCCCTCGTGCCAAAGGTGTATTGTGCTTCGCTGGTGCCCTCAGTATCAAAGTAATGCGAACGCAAGGCTGTGGGTGGGGTTGCAGCAGGCATTCTCTTGGTGCACAGCTCACCAGGCAGACTTGAGCTGATCGATTTTTGGGGCCATGGGGGCACAACTTTGAGCATAACTCGGAGGACAGAACATCTTCACAAGATCTCACAAGCATTGACGGCCCGTGGCGGATGCTTTTGTTGACAAACTTGAGCCTGAGTTGGCTGCCCCATTGGCATCTTCAAAGACATACTCCCCCATAGCAAAGGCCTAGGCGCGCTCGACGCACCATCTATTTTCATCTCTGAGAACCTTGTCCTTTAGCTGTGGGCACGCCTAGAGTCTTAGCCTCTTCATTGGCAAATAGCGAAACCTGACCACTTTTTTGCCGGCGAACGACCCGTTGTCCAAAAGCAACCAAAGTCCATTTAATAGGATGTTCATACTGTTTCGGGAGGGTTACTTTAGAAGTTAGAAGCTAATCTCCTGAGCACACGGCAGTTTTCTCTTCCAAGATCACGGCGGCATTCTTGAGATCGTACCGAACCTGGGTGGCATCCCTCCCTGCTCCAAACATTTTTCAGACTCCACCTCCCATTTTCATGAACCCAAGTGCAGGGGTCCTGATCTGGCGGGCAGTGAGGTCTTTGATCAGAGACTCACTTACCACTTTGCAACTCTTGCTATGCTACTGTTCACGGACCAGTCAGCAATACTTTGGTGGCTCGTATTCGATGCTTTTCAGCTTGCCCACACATTCAATGGTCAATGCTCAATGAACCTTTTGGAGCACCGATGAGTTCAATCGACCGCTAAGGCACCAAGCCCATGGCTTCAGAGCCCAGCCAGTGTCCTGCAACCGACGAGAGGCTCATGTTCGAATGATGCGTCGCTTTCACCTCAAAATCCTCCCGGAGACGACGGCCTTCTCCCACGACCGTTGCCGCCATACAGGTTTCTTCTGTCAACTCCTGCCATTCGTGCTCCGCGGGATTTGTGGCTTTTTTGAGATTCGCAAATGTATGGAAGCAACATTTATCAAGAACCAGTCGCTCAAGAGATTTCCCGAGCTTGAGCAAAAGCTCAAGGGTAACCTGCTTGTTCTCAGGGTAAGTCGCTTTCTATATACATATACTTTCACAAGGCCAAGCAACTTCAGAAAGTCGCCTTTCACAGGTGTCACCCAAAAGGCTACTTTGGATCTCCTGCAAACAAAAACTCAGAGATGTTGACTTGGTGATATGAATCGCGCACATTTCCACAAATGATGCCTAACAGTAGGGGTCACCCCTGAAGTCCATTCATTTGGACACACTTAGAAACCACGAAGGATCTGGCACCTGACCCTTTCGACAGTCTTCCATTTGCCAGCTTGACACCGCTTGACGGCTTGACACTCCTTGGGATAATTGTCATCCATGCCACGGTAGTAGGCCAGCGCGCCTGCAGAAGGGACTCTTTGGGAAACCTCTTCACTTCACGCGTAGTCATCGCCGCATCGCGAGCGAGATGATCTGCGCCACCATCACCATCCTCGCCGTGGCCCTCCCAAGCTCCGTGCACCGGGGACCGACCTCCCGACCGTCCCAGTCAGAGTCCACACCGCGACCGGCGGTTCGGCGAAGAAACCGCAGAAACGGCCGGCCTTCCCGGTCGAGGCGGAACGGATGCTCCTCAGCCTGGATCGTGACGATCGAATCGAAATGAACACAACAAGCAACTGGATGATCGATCCATGCTTCACAGGATGCGAAAAAGACAAAAAAACACGTCGCAGTCATCGCAAGAGTCCCACCGTCACACAAGAGTCCCACCGTCACACAAGAGTTTCTTGCACACAAACATCAAGAAACACGCACACTTGTCTCACACACCCACATGCACAAGAGTTTCTCAAAAAAAAGCAATAGTGCAAACAGTCCTATGCAAAGGACGACCTAGGTCCACCGGGGACCGCCGCGCGCGCACGCGCCAACCTGTTTGGCCTCGCTTGCTCGAGCCCCGCCGCTGTGGCGGAAGTTCATGAAAAAGGTTCAAAAAGGGACATGTGATGACGCCATGCTTGCATCACCACCATCCTGCTGGCCCTTTTTGAGCCAGTCAGGTCAAAGCTTCATAGGCTGTCTCCTTGCAGCCTGAGTCCCAAGGCCAGTTGTTCTTCTCAGCTAGGCCTTTCAGTGATGCCACATAGGCATCCTGCATCTCTCGAAGCTTCTGCTCCATGGCGCGTTTGTGCACCTTCTTGCCGGCCTCAAACTTCTCATCGTGCACCAGTCTCCAGTGCTGCTTCTGGCTGAAAAACTGGAGTAAGGTCTTTCGGGCCCCATACTTGGTGAGGGAATCCCCAAGCTGCGCCAGGCCGTTTACCCACCTCAGCTCCGTCGCTGCCTTCAAGGCCTGGTTAACGCCCAAAGGTCAGCTCGTATCCTGCTCGGCTGTCACGAAGGCCGTGCAGGCTGCTGATGTTGCGGGTCATGGCATCATAGATGCCTCGGCTGTCCATCACCAGCGCGCCAGGCACCTGCCTTGCCGTCTCATGGACAAGGCCTCTTTTCACCTCATAGCCTCCACAGCCACCATCATCCGAATCTGGAAGTTTTGGTCTTCGCCAATGGTTATGGCTTGGACCTCGGCTCCGTTGGAGCCTAGACACTGGCGCGGCGTCTTGCCGCTCTTCCACTGGACCACAGCGATCTGCACCTCCTCGCCCGCCAGGGCCTCTTTCACCGTCAGCCCTGTGATGATGCCAACCGCGCTGCTCTTGTCAGGGCGGTTGTGTTGGCTCGCGTCGGCCCAGGTGATGACCGCCAGGTCATTCACATCCTTGAAGCGCCAGCTTGAAGGAAAGAGCAGTCCCTGCCCAGCTTCTCGCCTCATCTCTCGCACCAGCTTGTTGACCTTGTAGAGGGTCTCGATGGTGCCTTTGCTGATCTCGCTCAGGAGGAGCGATGCCTCGGCCAGGAACTGTGGCGCCGACTGCGTCGCTCTCCAGGAGACTGTGCCCAAAGCGGCTCTCATGGAGGAAATCTCCGCTGCATTTAGAGGTGTCTTTCTTGCCTTCGTCTTGTCGATGTTGATCTCCTCGATCCATCTGTTCGTGTACACCTCTTGGTTCAGGATGATGGAATAGTCCTTGTTCTGGATGATGGTACATCCAGCGAACTCAAAGTTATCCTCGTTCCATCGTCCCCAGCGGAAGGCTTCGTTCAGAAGGCGTTCACGTGACTTGAAGTACTCAGAGGTCTCTGCGCCACAAAGCAGGAAATCGTCAACATGTAGTCCGGCCAGACCGGCCAGCTTTGGCTGCAGGTCTCCAGTCATGGACTCGGGCTCGTAGAGCGCAAAGCAGCATTTGTCGCTAAGCAGCTGCCGCCATCCGGCCTCCACCATTGTCTTCACACACCGCTCCCACCACTTCCGGGGAGCATGGGCTAGGCCGTAGAAGGCTTCTCGAACTCTCAGAGCCTTCTGCTGCCCATCGGAGGCGCCGAACATGGCGCTCAGCTCTGGTGGTGCCAGGACGTTCAGCTCCTCATCCTCCAGACTGATACCCGTCTGCAGAAAGGCGCTCGTCACATCGCCGGCCTTGACCTTGAACTTCAAGCCGGCAGCCAGCGCAAGGATCAGGTTTCGGCCAACCTTGGACATAGTTGGCGAAGCCGTGGCCACTTCTGTCAAATTGTGTGCCATGAAGCCTAGCACCACTAGTCGGGCTTTTGCAGACCCGTCACTCTTGCGCGTCAGCACCCAGCGCATTTTCATCAGCTGCTCTGGAGTCACCTTCATCTCTTCCTGGGCGGTCAAGTTCCGCAGCGCTCTGCTGATGGCCACTTGCGAAAGTTCCTTTGCCATGGCCAAGTCATACTCCTTTTTCTCATGCAGTGGGAGTCGCTGCCATTCCACTTCCTTGCCTTTCTCTGACATCTTTTTGCTCAGCCACACGACTCCTCTTTTGCGGTTCTTGTTCTTGCTCAGCCATTCGAAGTCATCCTCGTTCACCTCGAAGGAGCAGGCCACAAAGGTCTCTTCTGGAAGTTTCTTCCTCTTCATCCGGCTTGGGTTTGCCGGTGGCTTGGACTCGCCGTCAACCAGCATCAGTTCTTCGCTGCCTGAGGAGAGGTCCTCGGGCTCGGAGATTGAAGATGTAGAAGACGAAGAAGAGCCTCCAGGTACCGGGACTTCAGCTCCAGTCGGTGCTCGTCTCCCCTCGTAGAGGTCATAGAGGAATGTCTGGCCATCTCGATCTTGATGATGCCCGTCGTGTCCACCTGGAAGGTCGCATTCTGGTACTGGACACCGGTTGGCTCCTGACATGCCTCGGAGTGGAAGGTTGTCCACTGCATCAGGTCCACGTTCTTGAAGTGCCGTCCTCAAGCCTGATGCTGATGAGGTTGCGCCCTCAGGAATCTCCGGGGCTTCATCCATGGCGATGGTCACCTTGTCGTTCTTCTCCTCTTCCGGAGGGCCATCGTCATCGGCCTTTCTTTTCTCCCCTTTTGCTCTTCTCACACGCTGTCTCTTAGCTGGAATTTCTGGAGTCACCTCGAACCAGGTTTCTCCCTTCCATCTGTCTTGAAGGTTTCTGGTCTCATCTATCGTGTCATGGATGGTCACCTCGTCACCGCCATGCAGGGGCCGCACGACAGTGCGTCTGCTGCCCACCAGGTCTTCGATCTTCACGGGACAGTTCGTTGCCCGACCTGGGTTGAAGAGAGCAAGTCGTGGAAGTTCGTGATGTCTCACCAGGAAGCGCTTGCCTTCGTGCCATTTCACTGTCCAGGAGTCACTTCCTTGCTGTCCTCGTGGTTCGAGAAGAGGAGTAGAAGCTGAGAGGTCACCACGTTGAAGATCTTCACTTGGGACGTCGCCTGAGATGTCCATGTAATAGCGACCCTGGAAGCTCCTCATTAACGACTCCATTGATACAGGGTTCTTGTAGATGGCAGTCCCTTCCAGCGAAGTGTCCAGCTCTTCTCTGCGCGAAGTTGGTCGAATCTGATTCACCTTCGCTCTGATGAGAGTTGCGCCCGAGGTCATCCAGGCAGTGGACCCTTCCATGAGAACCAGTCGAACGGGCCCCGTCCAGTTGCCCTTCACCTTGCCAGGACGAACTCGTTGTCGCCAGATCATCACTAACTGTCCAGCCTTGTATTGGCTCACCTTTCTCCCAATGGCGTTTGCCAGCTTGCTGAACCTCTCCCGTGCTCTCTCTCTCTCGAAGGCGATCTTTGCTTTCTCACGTTCTTTCACCAGCTTGTCGAAGGCCCGGTTGGGGTCGATCCCCTGGAGAAGTTGTTGTTCATCCAGAACTCCTCCTCCAGCTCCAAAGACCCACTGGTAGGCGCTGAAGCCACTTGGCCCAATGTGGGCATTCATCGCTGCCGCTGCCATCTGGTACAGCTCGGGAACATTGAGGGAACTGCCTTCCTTGGTGAGTCGCTCCACGGTTCGTTTTGCCAGGCCAATTGCTCCCTCCTCAAATCCTATGAGCCAATGTGCTTCAGCAGGAGCGATCGTCAAGCCAACGCCAGATCTGTTGAGGAAATTCATAAACTCCTGGCTGGTGTAGTATCGACCACTGTCTGCCACGATCCATTTAGGAGATGGATATGTCATCAGCCATTTGGTGAGTGACTGGATCACGTCGGCAGAGGTTGGCTCCCAACTTCCGCTTTCATAACGCTGGAGGTGATCGATCATCGTCAGGCCTGAACCGCGATCTCGCCAGAGAATCAGCTTGTGTTTCACTCCAGTCGACTCCTCATGTTCAAACACATCTGTTCCAAGATGCTCATAGATGGGTGGAGTCTCTCCGAGGCTTGCCGGTGGTCTAGGCCTTGGTTTCGAAGCCTCCTTGCACTCAGGGCATTCCAGCTTGCTGGCTATCTCCAGTGCCCAGCCCGGGGATCCTCTAGCCTTCAGGAGTTGCACCAGGTTCGACATTCCAGGATGGCCACTTGCCCGGTGTACT